CTTTTTCTACATCTATTAATATAATTATGTGATTTTTATTCTTCATTTTGTTTATGTGGTGTATGACATTTATTGAATTGCATATATGTACCAACCTTGTATCCCCAGAATAAATCCCACTTGATCATGGTGTATGATCTTTTTAATATATTGCTGGATCTGGTTTGCTAATATATTGTTGAGGATATTAACATCTATGTTCATCAGGGATATTGGCCTATAATTTTCTTTCTTTGTAGTGTATCTGTTTTGGAATTGGAATAATGCTGGCCTTCTAAAATGAGCTTGGGAGTCTTCTTGAATATTTTGGAGTAGTTTGAGAAGGATAGGTGTTAGTTCCTTTTTGAATGTTTGGTATAATTCACCTGTGAAGCCATCTGGTTCAGGACTTTTGTTAGTGGAGATTTTTTTGTTTTGTTTTGTTTTATTGATTCAAATTCACTAGTTGTAATCAGTCTGTCCATATTCTCTGATTCTTCCAGATTCAGTTTTAGACAGTTGTATATTTCTAGGAATGTATCCATTTCTTCCAGATGTATCCAATTTCTTGGCATATTGTAGTTCTTAATATTTTCTTACAATCCTTTGTATTTCTTTAGTGTCAGTTGTTACTTCTCATCTTTCATTTATGATTTTATTTATTTGGGATCTTTTTTGAGGGTGAAGCACCAGTCATGTTCACGGGAAAGTAGGGCAAATGCCCCACAACTCAGTCACTGACACTCCCTGAGTCTGCCCAGACCTCTAGACCCTAGCCCAGGCAGCTGATTCCTCAGCTGGGTGCAAGCTCTGCAGGGTGGTGCGAGAGGCAGTCTGGAGGGTGGGACTATTCCATATTCTTAGGTTGATGCAGTGTGGAGGGGAGTGCTCCATTCCAGAGAGATGATGTCTGCAATGTGGGTGAAGAACTCAGCTCGGATCCTGGCTACTGTCCCTTCAGCTTGCTACCTACAGCTACAAACTCCAATCTCTCCTCATGCAACTCTAATCTGTTTTGCCCACCCTGTGCCAGACCACAGGGTGAGTGGCTACAAATAAGATTTTGTGCATTGGCCCTTTAAGAGAATGTTTGTGTCTCTAGTGGACTCCTCTCTCTCCTTGGCAGACAGAATCTCCACTATTTTTTACAGCCAGATGTTATGTGGGTGCCTCTTTCTGGTTCTGGTGCTCTGGGCTAGGGAGCCTGGCTTCGGGTTGAGACCCTACACCTCCCAGGGGGAACCTTTGCAGCTGAAATATCCCTCCAGAATCTCAGCCACTGCCAGTGGGGGTGGGGCCAGCCCTTTTATGTCTCTGTCCTTCTTACCAGTCTCGAAGTGGCTTCTTCTGTAAATCCTTGGTTATAAGTCTCCTGTTCAGCTAGTCTTCAGTTGGTTAGTCAGGATGATTGTTCCAGTTTGATTTAAAGGGAGGAAGTGAGTGTAGCTTCCACCTACTCCACTGATATCTTGGATACTCGAAAACTGAGATCACAGTCATCATAGTCTGGCTCCAAAATCTGTCTTCTTAATCACTGGTGCCTTTCACATCTCATAAGTAAATTATCTGTGCCCTCCTTTTCTTACATGGTGTCACATTTCCTATTCCCCTTAAGAAGCCAATATCTTCCTGATATTTTTTCCCCCTTACTATTAAAAAATACTCTCAGATGTAAAAAAAATGAAACTAGACCATCATTTACACCATACATAAAAATAAACTCAAAATCAATAAAAGACTTAAATGTGACCTGTGAATCCATAAAAATCCTAGAAGAAAATGTAGGCAACAAAATTTTGGACATCATGCGCAACAGAATTTTCACTGATACATCACCTAAGGCAACAGAAACAAAGGAAAAATGAATACATGGGACTACATCAAATTAAAAACCTTCGGCAGAGCAAAAGATACAATCATCAAAATGGAAAGGCAACCCACTGTATAGAAGAGCATCATTGTCAATGATACATCAGATAAGGGGTTAATTTCCAAAATATATAGAGTACTCATACAACTCAACAAAAGGAAGACAAAGAACCCGATTAAAAAATGGACAGAGGAGCTGAATAGACACTTCTCCAAACAGGACATACAAATGGCCAAGAGACATATGAAGAAATGCTCAACATCACTAATCATCAGAGAGATGCAAATTAAAACAATAATGAGGTATCACCTCACACCTGTCAGAATGGCCGCCATCAACAAATCATCAAACAAGTGTTGGTGAGGGTGTGGAGAAAAGGAGACTTTAGTACACTGTTGGTGGGAATGCAGACTGGTGCAGCACTATGGAAAACACTATGGTGTTACCTCAAAAAGTTAAAAATTGAATTGCCATTTGACCCAGTGATCCCACTTCTAGGAATATACCCTAAGAAGCCTGAAACACCAATCAGAAAGAATATATGTACCCTCATGTTCATAGCAGCACTATTTACAATAGCTAAGATCTGGAAACAGCCCAAGTGTCCATCAGTGTATTCATCCATAGACAAATGAATAAAAAAGCAGTGGTACATATACACAATGGAGTACTAAGCAGCTGTAAGAAAGAAAGATCCCTTATCCTTTGAGACGACATGGAGGGACCTGGAAAGTATTATTCTAAGGGAAGCAAGCCAAGGAGAGAAAGACAAATATCACATGATCTCACTTATTTGTGGAATATAATGAACATAACAGTCTGAGGAATAGGGTAGACCCAGAGACACGGAAGTAGGGTACAGACTGACAACCCTCAAAAGGGGATGGTGGGGAGGGAAGAGAAAAACCACAGAACTTATGCATGTACGCATAACCGATGTACACAGACCACAAAGCCAGGTATGGGGTCGGGGGGATGGGGAGGAGGATGTCAATGGGGAAAAAAAGGAGAAACTTCTGTAACAAAAATAAGTTAGTAAAAATTTTTTTAAAAATTCTCTCAGAAAAAACTAATACATATATGGAATAAGTTACAGATGTGGTTTAATATAAAATAATATTACCCCAGGGTTGATATTTTTAGGGGCATGGGGAACTGTTAAGGGGCCATCAAACTTTAACCCAAAACCTTGTTGAAATTTGAAGTACATATGGGCCTGGGGAAATTAGTTAATTGGGTACATGACATTCTGTGCCCTCAAATTATATTATTATTTAGTTGGCCCAAGCTTTGCAGGAATTTTAGTAGAAATGAGGTAGGGACATAAAAGTGGAAACAGAAAGAATAAGAGATATACCTTCATTGTATTGATTCAATGATTTTAGAAATATCCTATTATTTCCCTAGTTCATTATCAGGTGAAGAGTTCTGATATAACCCAAAAGACATAGATCCCAGAGGAAAGCTTTAACTTGGACCAGTCACAGATGAAAAGAGATAAACCCATCCTAGGGTTTTAGTGTATATTCATATTTACATATGAATTGAGGTAGAACCAAGGATTGATTTTTGCTCCTGTATTTTCTGCATAAATAAAACTCTCTCATGTGGGTCTATGATTATCTGCTCTGGGAATCTTACAACCTAGGAATGTTACTCTAGAGCATCCATTTTCAACCTTTCAACCTTTTTCATCTTATGGCACACACAAACTAATTACTAAAATTCAGTGGCACACCAAGAAATATATTTTTTTTACTTTTTTGAAAAAAAAAATAGTTATAATTTTGATTCATTCACACCAAACAGCTATTGTGGTATTGGCTGTTGTAATTTTTTTATTTGACAGTCTAAGGGGGAAAAGGTCAGTGTCTCTGACTAAACAGTCAGGTATTTCATATTTTAAAAAATTCTTGTGATATACCAATTGAAAATTGCTGCCCTGGAGCTACTTTTGATACCTCTCCTCTTCTTATTCCACATCAGTCCGTCATCAGGCTCTTTCTTTTTTTTTTTACTAGTATTTTTCATATATTTCAATCTAGTTTAGTTCAGTGAACACTATTGAATGCCTGCGTTATGCCAGATACTGTGCTCTGGGCATATAAGTACTCCTATCTTAAATTTCTCATTTGCTAGGAGAGAATATAGCATGATCCAAGCAATCATAGAAGTGTGTTTCAATACAGTAGCAGTATACAAGAGAGAATTACTTTGTTAGGGAAGGTAGAAGGACTTGCAAAGGATATGATGCTTGAATAGGCTTTTTAAGGATAGATAGGAGTTCCTCAGAATAATAGCAAGGGAGCAACATATTCTAGCTAGAGAGCAAAGCACATGCAGACATTGAAGCATAGCACAGTGTGGCCTGACAGCTGTAAGTAGTATTGTTATAGAATAGATGAAGTTTGAGTCAAGGGATGGTGAAAATGATGTTTTTGCTTTTTTCATTGTCAAGAGCCTAGAGTATCAATTTGTTTTTTTCCATGTCTGTGATTTCCAAGGCCTAGTCTTTTTTCAGTACTCTGCTCATTCTTCTGAATATGCCAATTCTTGAGACTTTAGCTACTGCTATCTTGACACCTAAGCATTTGTATACACTACAGTATATGTCTCACTCTTCAACCCTCCACGTTAGGAACTTGTATCTTAGTATAGTGAAGCGGGGAATGACAACTTTCATTCTACGTACTCATATAGGTTTCATGATCAGATTTGCATATAATAATTTTGAAAATATTTTGGAGTTAAAGGACTAATATGAAAATAGTGTTAGTACAGTAATACAGTTCATTATACCAAATAATTTAATTCAGTTAAACAAGTGTCTTTTTCTGCTCTCTGTTCATGTAATAGCACTATATTGAGAAAATACACTATGGAAGAAAACATGAAGAGGATACCTTTCTTCCATGTCTGAGAGAAAATACTTAAATTTATACTCATGCAGTGTCTGCCTTTAATCAGCTCTCTAAGAGAGAAAATTTATAGAGAAGTGTTTATTTTCTTCTGTTCATCATAAAATTTGAAAGCATAAACACAAAGGAAGACTAGTTGTTAAATAATATACTGCTTTAAAATGAAGTTATGTGGAAAATACCATCAAAGCAAACTGACTTTTATGTTAATTTATTTGTAACTTTTTTTTAAGGATGCTGGGCAGTTTTATGCTAAATATAAAGAAACAAGATTGAAGGAAAAGGAAGATGCATTGACTAGAGCTGAACTTGAAACACTTCAAAGTGAGTTTTAAACATTGTCTTATTATGTTAACAAAATCATATAAAGTGATTATTTAAATTTGGATTTTCCCTTAAATTCAATACTAATTAAATTTTCTGTGTTTTCTTTGCCATTCTCTAAATAGTTACTTGTTCTTGATGTATTATATGTGGGAAATACTATATTAGTAATTACTGAGCCATCCACAGTTTAATATCAGAAGGATAGATAAAATCAATATAATTGCCCTGGCCGGTTTGGCACAGTGGTTGGAGCATCAGCCTGCGGACCGGAGAATCCTGGGTTCGGTTCCCGCTAAGGGCACATGCCTCAGTTGCAGTTTGTCCCTGGCCCTGGTTGGAGTTGTGTGGGTGGCAGCCACTCTATGTGTGTCTCTCATATCAGTGTTTCTCTCTCTCTCTTCCTCCCTTTCTCCCTCCCGATCTACCTGAAGATAAGTGCAAAAAATGTCCTCGGGTAAGGTTAGAAAAAAAATCAACATGGGGTCATATAGCTCGTAAAGTCTAATAGGCATCCAGAATCTGGAAAATTCTAAAATACTCCACTGCTGTAATTGTCACTAATATTGTGTGCCAAGTCTATCCAATTAGTCACCCAACTTGCTATATTACAGTAGTAACTGGAAACCTGGAAGATCAGTGATTTTTGTTTTGAAATTTTGTTTCATTTGTATTACTGTTATGTAATATGAAAAACCTCGATGACATTATCAGTATGTTGAAGTCTTCCACTGAATCAGAGAGTTATTGCTGATTTTAGGAGAAGTAGAACATAAAAGGTATTTTTCCCAATCCTGGTCTTTTTTGTCTAATCTTTGAAATAGTTTCAATTAAATTGAATAAATCAATGAAACTAAATGTGATTTTTATATAATTATTATTAAGTAAAATTGTTGCATAAAAATTTTCTAAGCTTTTTAAGACTAGTGCCTTTATATTCCTTTACTTTTGTTCAGAGCACTTAACACTACTTACATTAATTTGTTTATTAATTTTGTTTACCATCTGGTTTCCCCATAGAATGTAAATTTCATGAGGGTAGGGGCTATTGTTTCTATCAAAGTGCCTCTAAGAGTCGCTGGCACATAGTAGGTGCTCAGTAAACACTCGTTCACTGAATTTATACAGGTGAAATTTTTATTCTTTTTTTTTTTTTTATGTTTTCATTGATTTTTTAGAGAGAGAAGGGAGAGAGAGATAGAAACATCAGTGTGAGAGAGAAACATTGATCGGCTGCCTCATGCACACCCCTACTGGGGATCGAGCCCACAACCCAGGCATGTGCCCTGACCGGGAATCAAACCAGGATTCCTCAGTCTATGGGACGACGCTCGACCCACTGAGCCACACCAGCCCGGCATTTTTTGTTTTGTTTTTGTTAATGCTTACCCAAGGATATTTTTCCATTGATTATGTTAAATAGAGTGGAAGGGAGGGAGGGAGAGAGCGAGAGCGAGAGAAAGAGAAAGACATCCCACATTGATTGGTTGCCTCACGCACAGCCCTGGGGCCCAAAATTTTGTTCTTTTAAAAATTCCAATGTGAGTATTTTTGGTCTAGACTTCATTCCTTCCATGAACCTGGATTCCTAGAGAAGTGCGTGGTATACATGGTACCAGTCCGGGCACGGATGACAATACAAAGATAATACCTGGTCACTTTGCACCTATAAATGAATATACCAGCAGCATGTATAGTTTTGTGCACTTTTGAGGGTATGCAGTAAAAGGTTTTCTGTAGCATATAGTAGTAATTTAGCCAAATCAACCTGGAGAAGAGCAACTGTGGTATTAGTATGTCACACATTCAATATACAGAAAATGGTTTTAGCTATTTCTCTTCATATTGAAAGTCCTGCCTTTTTGCCTTCACCCTGACACCAGACTATGGTTTAAGTAGAGATGAGAGTTATGTTCTCTTCAGACCCAAAACTGCATTGCCAGTACCTGAATGTGTGGCTTTGAGGATTTTAGTTTCCTGATCTGTCAAAAATATATATATATATATATATTGGACTAGGTAATCCCAGTATTTGTTTTCTATTGCTGCTCTAACAAATGGCCACGAATTAAGTGGCTTAAGCACAAATTTATTATTTTAGAGATGTGTGGTTCAGAAGTCTGACATGGATCTCACTGGGCTAAAATCAACAGTTTATCAAGCAGGGCTGCATTCTTTTTCCGACTTGTAGGACCTGCTGCATTCCTTGGATCCTGTCCACTTTCCTCTATCTTCAAAGTCAACAGTGTTTCATCTCTCTTACTGTTCTGGTGTCACACCTCTGTCTGAACAAAACTGGGAAGGATTTTTGCTTTTAAGGACACACGTGATTAGATTAGGTCACCTTGGATAATACAGGATAATCTCCCATCTAAAGGTGCTCAGCCATAATCACATCTGCAAAGTCCCTTTTCGCTTATAAAGTAAACTATTTCCAGCTTCTGAGAATTAAAATATGGTCATATTTAGGGGGCCATTTTTATTGCCTGTTAGAATCCTTCAGATGTCTGGAAAGCATTAGCACAGGCACTTTATTTATTTATTTTAATCTTTATTGTTTAATCTTTATTGTTGAAGATATCCCCCCTTTTTTACCCCATTGACCCCCTCCTCCCTGCTCCTGCCCCACTCCTGCTTTTCCCAAACTATTGTATCTGTCCATTGGTTATGCATATAAGTTCTTTGATTTATTTCTTCCCAAACCTTCACACCCCCCTTCCCTCTGAGGTTTGTTAGTCTGTTTACTACTTCCATGTCTCTGAATCTGTTTTGATCGACATCTTATTTTGTTCATTATGTTCCATAAATGAGTGAGATCATGTGGTACTTGTCTTTTTCTGACTGGCTTATTTAACTCAGCATAATTCTCTCCAGGTCCTTCCATGTCATCTCAAAGGTAAGAGATCTTTCTTACATCTACATAATATTCTATTGTATAACTGTAACAGCATTTTTATCCACTCATCTATTGATGGACACTTGGGCTGTTTCCAGATCTTAGCAATTGTAAATAGTGCTGCTATGAACATAGGGGTACATATATTCTTTCTGATTGGTGTTTCAGGCTTCTTAGGATATATTCTTAGAAGTGGAATCACTGAGTCAAATAGCAGTTCAATTTTTATTTTTTGAAGAAATGCCATAGTGTTTTCCATAGTCTACATTCCCACCAATCGTGTACCCTTTTCTCCACATCCTTGCCAGCGTGTGGTTGAGGATTTGTTGATGGCAGCCATTCTGGCAGGTTTGAGGTGATGTCTTATAGTCATTTTAATTTCCATCTCTCTGATGATTAGAGATGTTGAGCATGTTTTCATATGTCTCTTGGCCATTTGTACATTCTGTTTGGAGAAATGTCTATTTAGGTCCTCTGCCCATTTTTTAATTGAATTGTATGTCTTCCTTTTGTTGAGTTGTATGAGTACTCTATATATTTTGGATATTATTAACCACATATCTGATACATCATTGGCAAATTTGTTTTTCCACAGTGGGTTCTCTTTTCATTTCAATGCTTGTTTTTTTGTTTGTTTGTTTTTGCTGTACAGAAGCTTTTTAGTTTGATGTAGTCCCATTTATTAATTTTTTCTTTTGTTTCTCTTGTTCTAGGCGATGTATCAGTGAAAATTCTGCTAGGTATAGTGTCTGAGATTTTTCTGCCTACATTTTCTTCTAGGATTTTATGGTTTCACAAGTTACATATAAGTCTTTAATCTATTTTGGGTTTATTCTTGTTTATGGTGTAAGTTTACGGTGATCTAGTTTCATTTTTTTTTTTTTTGCATGTACCTGTCCAATTTTTCCAACACCATTTATTGAAGAGACTGTCTTCTCTCCATCATATGCCCTCACTTCCTTCGTCAAATATTAATTGTGCATACGGTCTTGGGTCAATATCTCAGGGTCTCTGTTCTGTTCTGTTCCATTGATCTATATGCCAGTTCTTGTGCCAGTACCAGGCTGTTTTGATTACAGTAGCTGTATAGTATAACTTGATATCTGGTATTGTGATCCCTCCTACTTTGTTCTACTTTTTCAAGATTGCTGTGGCTATTTGGGGTCTTTTTTGGTTTTATATCAACTTTTGGAGTATTTGTTCTAGATCTGAGAAATATGCTGTTGGTATGTCAACACACTGTTATGACAATTTTACATAGAAGTTATCTCATGTCACTGGCTATTTTTTTGTAATTGAGTATGAAAGTGAAACAATCTAAATAAACTTCAGTGTACTTTATTTATACATAGTGAATTGAAATGAAACTTTTTACTTATATACTACATATTATTTTTTTATATGTATTATATATTTTAGTAATTTTTTTTGTTGTGGTATACTGTATAGCAGTCACCTACGTATAATGGTATGCAACATGTTTTGCAAATATATCTGGTTTTGCTGCACTTTCCTTTTGAAACACACACTTTACACCTTCTAGTTGGATTTTTTTTATACCAGTGACCATTTTTCTAAAACGTGGTCTTTTAGTTGCCCTGAAAGCCTAAAAGGTGAATCAATATAAGGAGCTCTTTGAGAAGTACCACAAGTGTTAGGTTCTGGCTGTACTCATTTGAACCATCAGATATCCATTCCCTAGCTATTTCAAGTAGAAAATTTTTGTATCTTATTTTATTTTGTCTATTGTAATTATAGTAAATTTTGAATGCATTGAATAAAGCGCAATTGATCAGAAAGAATGCTACTTTTTTAGACCACTTTATATTTTTTCTAAAGATACTGCTGTTCGCCAAATATTGGTCTGCTTGGTCGACTCCTTTCATGTGTTTCTTGTAGTCTAATATGCATGCAGGTTTAACTATATCTTTCGTAGAACTTTTTTGTCGCTTTCCAGTTGTTTTCATAGAGGCATCGTGGATAGTTGATATAATATTCACTAGTCTTATCTTTCCATGATATAAGGACAATGGGTCCTTTCCGTAAAAATGTCATTTCCCCTCTCTGAAGATTCTTTAACTTTTCTTTTAGTACCTTGGGCAAG